TATTAGCTTAATCCAGCAGATAATATTGTGCAGTTACTGTTTGTGTCTTTGATATTGCTGTGTCCCTCAGATTTTAGTGGTTTGTACAAAGCAAGAACACATATCCAAATGGAATTTCACCCCAAGAAAGAAATTCCCATTTTAAAGGGCATAGCACAGCAATCTGCAACAATATGTAAAATTGATGTTGACTACAATAAAACTAGTCTTAATTCCAAACTTAACTGAAAATGTCAGATCATTTTGTATTATCTATTTTCATCTTTATGTGAAGCCAGTTATAGAATGTTTAACAGTAAATTGTGCTGTATGTGTAAATGTCCTTACCAACTAAATGATGTAAAACTTTCTTAAAGTAATTTTAGTGTTCATTTATTTATAACTCTTCCATGTGGTTTCCAGAATATTGGAAGTGATTTACTGTATCTTGTGATAGGAGTTTTAACAAATTCTAGTCTTCACGCTGCGGAGAAGGCAATGGCAACCCACTCCAGTACTCTTGCCTGGAAAATCCCATGGGCAGAGGAGCCTGGTAGGCTGCAGTCCATGAGGTCACTAAGAGTCGGACACGACTGAGCGACTTCACTTTCACTTTTCACTTTCATGCACTGGAGAAGGAAATGGCAGCCCACTCCAGTACTCTTGCCTGGAGAATCCCAGGAATGGCGGAGCCTGGTGGGCTGCCGTCTAAGGGGTCGCACAGAGTCGGACACGACTGAAGCGACTTAGCAGCAGCAGCAGTCTTCACACTGAGAGAGCACTACTTGAGAGAGCAATTGAAAAGTTTCCAAAATTTTGATTCAGTCTGAAGAAAGGAAGCTGGAACTGTCTGTTCTTGGTGCCTTGCAGAGAGACTCGCAGCAACTCTCCGTTAACAGCTTTCATGTGGCTTGGATGTACAACACATCCAAGGTGGCCACAGCTGTGGTAGAGCTTGGTAAAAGACTGAAGATACATTGGTGCTTTGATAAAAAGGTCAGTTGGCTGGTCCTCTCTCGAAAAGCTTATTTAGCCCCCAAAGCCAACTTTGTAACATATTTAAAACTGCTATTTTCGCTTATTTCTGGAATGTAAAAAAAAATGTATAAAATTAATTAGCGTATGCTTCCTGAATAAAAAGGAGCCAAAGTTGATCAACATGGTGGTGTGCTCATTTCTGGGAAGCAGCCTGGTAGCAACACTTTGAGTCTTTGGAGAAGTGGTGTCTGCACAAAACATTTCAACACTAGAACACATGTGGATGAACATGATGACTTAGCAGATAGGAGCAGCCAGTCAACCACCCATCATGTTTTCCTTGGGGACCAACATCCTGGCTGCAGCCAAATCTTAGGCTGTTCCCTTTTACACAATTTTTTTTGTATCTCAGGTAAATCAAGTGTTGATATTCAGAGGTGACTATTGATAAACACCTCCAGTGACTTCATATTTAGACAGTTAGGTTGCTTACAGTGTCTTAAAACATTTAGCACCAAACTTGACATGTAATTGGCCCACAATGAACAACTTCCTTTCCCTTCTTAACATATATTTTGCATTAAGAAGCTGTCCATTGTACTTAAATCAATATGTAAAAAATAGAAGGGGATTTTCTTTTATGCCTGGATCTCTATGGCTTTCAGTCCCCCACAATGATTAACACAGTATATGATGTTTGCTTCCCACTAACTTTTGTCCTACAGTGTCTGGCCTTTCATAATGTTGGTAGGATGAGAAATGAGGTGTGCGTTTTATTTTGGCCCTTAATCTTTTAACAGTGGCAAAGGGAACTAACCTAAAATGTTTATAGATTTTTTTAGGATTATTTTTTTACCTACTAGTCTCATACCAACTTTGAGAAGCTATCGTTCAATTAGTGCATTAGAAAAGCCTGCCTTCACCTCTCTTGGTTAAGGGTGGCTTTGGAGATTGAGTGTAAAAACTCCTTTCTCTCTTTACATTTCTCTCCTCTTCCCAAAAATGATTCAGGGGCCAGAGGAGTAGGGTAATGTTATATAAATCTGGTTTATTTGTATAAGTTAAAACTAATAGAATATTAATGTAGTTAGTTAAGCTCTGAAACAATGGGCCCAAGTATATATTTGGTTCTCAGTTTGAGGGTCCAGATTTCCTAACTTCTTAGGATCAGCCTTGGTATTGATGTGGAACTAGGGTGACGCCATCTAACTCCGCTTGAGAACATGTTGAGAAATGAGGTTGGCAAGAATGAGCTGCTAACAACCTTGCTGTTCTATTTTGTCCCCTTTTTGTTGGTTCTTATATTTTCCCTTTCTTTGAGACATGAGATAGCAGTCATTTTAACCCAGAACTGTAACCTTGCTATAAAACCTGCACAGGTACATGAGCAGCTTTAAGTTTTGTTTGAATAAATTATACTGAGGAACTAACTCTGCTTTCAGTTACATATGTATTTATAGCATTAAGGCTCACAGATCTACTTTTTAGATTTTTTTCCCTCCCCTTTGATTACAAAATGAATGGAAATTTCATGCATTCGGTTGGGATTCTTTTAAAAATAGTATACAGTACATTATTCACTGTGCTATGAGTAACTCTTGAAGCTGGAGATGGGTCCTAAATAAAGGACTCTTAATTACAACTCTAGCTCTTCATCATACTCCCTTTGCCATACCAGCAGGTGCAGAATTGAAGATTCAAGTTCAATCTGCCATTTGAAAGGGGCCCTCACATATGTGTTTTAAATTTATGATTGTTACAAATTAGTGTATGGCGTTGTTAGCCTGTGGCATTTGTTTAAAAAAAAACTGTAAAGAAAAAAGGCAAATCTGCATTAAAACTTTGAAATGAATGAATTGTGGTGCCTTTGACCATGGATATGATGCTTTGGGGAAGTCAGTTTGTTGACGCTGTTGTAAGATTTTAAAAGGATTATCCCATGAAAGATACTGGGAATAGTGTTTCTGAGGAGGTGTATGAAAGAAAAAAATAATAAACATGCATATTCCCAATCTCACCTTAATTTTTTCGGGTAACAGTGTCAATATTCAAGATACCCAACCACAGGAATTCGCTGGTGGTCTAGTGATTAAGACTTGGTGCTTTCACTGCCATGGCCCATGTTCAGTCCCTGGTTAGGGATCTAACCATAAGCCATGCAGCACAGACAAAAAAAGAAAAGAAAAATCCAGCCACAGTAGGATGAAGAAATTTATGTAAAACTAATCTGCCAAATACTGATTTAATGTCATTCTACTTAGACGCAGAAATGAACTTACGAGAAAGTATTTAAGGACGTTGTTCCCAGGTGAATGTAACCAGTTCATGTGTTCAGCGTAGGATGAGCTCCCTCACGTTGAATCTTCTTGAAGTACACCAGAAGGACTTAAATTTCATTTATCACCGCCCCCCCGGCCAAGTTAAGAAGTGAGTTTCCAGTCATTGTCCTTGTCTCTATAGAATGAACTAGGTTGCTCCTCAGAAGAAAGTTTTGTTTAAACGAGGTAACACTGAGGATACCTGTATTCCCAAACTTTACTCGAGACCTAAAATACCATTTTACAGTAGTTTGTTTTTTAAGCTAAGGCTTTTTTTAAGAGATGGAATGTCAGGGTCAATGTTAGACCTTAGTCTCTAAGGATGATGGTAAATCTCCAGGTTAATTCTCCCCAATTAGCAGTTTCATTCCCTTAATTGCCTATAATATATGCTGAAATAACTTTGTTTGAATAGTTTTACATTCTGTTAGAATGTTTTAAAAAGCATGAAATACTTAAGACTGAAAAGAATAAAGGTCCTCTCCAGCAACATCTTCTCTTTTCCCTCTCCCAGGATCTGTATTCATATTCAGCTAAAATATAATTATACTTTGACTACAAAATTTTAAGGTTATTTTTATTTACAAGTTTTGAAAAATGTACATTTTTTACATGGGTTACTTTTGCAAAGTTAGATTTAAAAGAGTGATAAATGCACAAAAGATGACAATGGAACATCAGACAAAACATTTACAAGCCTTGTCCCACACTGCTACTTAAAGGTACTGTCTAAAAGTATAAATATTCAAAGAAAAGACTGCAAACATTGATTTTAATGTTCTTATAATACTGAAAGGGAGGAAGAAACTAAAGCATGCAGCATTAACTGAGGATTTGAGTGGAAAACAGTATGCCACAGATATGTTCCCTTCCTTGAGTTAATTGAAACTAAAAGAAAAACAATGTGGGATTATAAATTTGTTTACATAGGGCAGAACAGCTCCTTTAGAAAGATTAGTTTCTCCAACCTTCCTAGCTTAATTAAAAACTAATGATTGTTTCCATTCCTCTGTTCCCACACCTCTTTAAAAAGTGAAAATCCAGAAGACTGCAGTATTCTGAAACTTAGCTTGGGTGTGTCCAGTGAATATCTTGCAAGGAGAGGATGTGTGAGTTAACATGATTGTGGCACTCCTTTGGCCAAGTCTTTTAACATTCTTCCTTCCTTCAGTAAAAAATAGTTCACATTGATTAAATCTTAGTATCACAGCCTTTTAAGCTTCCACTGCTCTTTCAAAGTGGATGTTTACAAGGATTTGTTTCCCTTTTTTCTACATGCCATATTCCAAAAATTCACTTCTAAATCTAACACAAGTGAAGGACCAGCCAGGGTGAAGGCTTCAGCAATCATTTTGTTAAAAACAACATTCCTGTCATCAAGCTATGCATAAGCACCACTTGTAAAACAATTCATTTTAAAAGCTTAGTGTAGAGTAACACAAAACTGCCCTAAAACTGTAAATAAGATACAAGAGAAGGGAAATTAAGCATTAGTATTTTTGCACGTAACCCAGGTACAGTACATTTGATCTCATAGAGGGTGTTCTCTGATGTTTAAGGAGAAGGTAGAAGGGATAGGAAAAGCTCGGCAAGGGAAGATGGAAACGGCACAACAGCTATTTTGCTTTTAATAAAGTAAATGTAATGACACTGAAGAACAGGAAGATGACAAACACATCGATACATATTTTCCTTATGACTGCTGCTTCTTTTCTTCCACCCAGGTCAACAGTCACGCCAGCTCTGTTCTACTATCGCAGAAACACGTTTTTCATACTCCCGCTTGTTCTCCTGGTACAGCTGAGCAGCCTGGCTATTTGCTGGACTATTGGGATTGGGTTCATCCAGTAGAGACTATAGAGACATTTGGTAACAAGTCAGTTCCTCAGTGCCTAGATATAATCACTTGAATTATCCTAGGTAGCAGCTAAATTTGCTCTCAGCGTGATAATCTTCAGTTACATTAGTCTGCTATAGCTAAGCAAATATGTTTTCTGGTGGCTTAGGTCTTAATGACCTACTTTTTACTTAACTTATGACTTTCAAAAAACAATTGCTAATATAAATGGATCAAAGGATAGTCACATTAAGGAAAATTCACCTGTATGGATGTTAAAATGGAAGACACATCATAGGTTGGACTCCAACGGTTCTGAAGTATGTCCAGACATATGCTACCATCTGCATAGACTAAGAACATAGAAGTAGGTTATGTTAAACATAACAAAACCATTAAGGTTTTAACATCATAGTCAAGACAAATAGAGTCAAGAATACTTTGCTTTTGAGGTTTACAAAAGATTCCTAAGCTGCTTCTCAATTATATTCCTAAAAGAAGTGTCATAATCACTACTAGTGAAACAACTGGGATGATCAGAGAATGTCAAATATAATTTGTGTAAAACTGGAAGATACTTAGTGCTTGTTATTCTGAAAAAACTGTCCTGTTATCCAGGAAACCACATGAATTTTTTTTTAACAGGGTTCCTAGTCATCCACAGGCTTATGGGAAATTCATTCCACCAAATTTCTAAACACTACCTCTTACTGAAATAACAAAAGATAGCTCAGAGTTCACAAAGTTTCATTTTGGCATGAAGATAAAAATACCTGATGCCCTGGAATATTAACCTGAATAAAAGGCAAGTTGTTCTAGGCTTGCTACTAGGAAGGGAAAAAAAGTGAAGTACTAAGATAGAATCACCTGTGGTACTTTTCTAATATACTGTATACCTGGACCTTAACCACAGTATCTGATATTCAGCAGGTCTGGAGTGAGGCCAGGGCATCCATAGCTTTTAAATGTTCCATGCTAATTCTGATATGCATCCAAAGCTGAAAACGGTTGTTTTAAATGCTAGTGAATATAATTACAACACAAAATTACCCCAATCTGGCCTTACATTAAAAGGAAACCTCAAGAACACCTTTATTTTTATTTATTAAGTAAATGATAAAATCATCAAAACCAGAAGGCTCTCAGATTCCAAACAAAGGCAGTGTCCCTTCACAGCTTCACTCTAGGACCTAGACCAAGACAGCAATAGGCCACCATGAACAAGACCAGCTTTCAGAAAACAGTAAGATGCCTACACAAATACTCAGGTACTACAGACGAATAAGTAGGAAATGTGGCATACTTCCCCAAATAAACAATACAGCAATTTAGAATACTCTTATTAAAAAGAGATACTTGCCATTTGGATGGAACATCTTAGAGACAAATCTAACCGTCGGTGGCTTATTCGGATATTCCTCAGTGAATTCTATTGTAAGCTTAAAGGTTCCTGTAATTAGAAAAACAACGGTTAAGAACATTTATCATTTTGTTCAGTAGTACTTTGTTTTTAATGCTACATGACTTGTTTCTCAAGTATTATATGAAATAATGCAAAGATATAGAGTAGAGAGGAAAGAGACCAGGTAGGAGGTACAGCTTTAGAAACTGCCCTAAAAAAGAACAGTGTGAGAACCACCACTCAAAGGTGATTCATTTTTTGTTTTTCCATTATTCTCCCCCAAACTTAAATACAGCTATCTTAAACTCAAAATTACTGCCTGCGGGATAACTTTAGCCCCTGTATATTTTGAAGACATCCTTAAAATGACAAGCAACTACAGCCAAAATTTGGCCTTCCTCCTTTAGAAGACTGAAAGACCTTAATAAAGTCCAATCTTCATCAGCTGTCATCTTAAACTCTCCAGTGATTTTTAAATGGACTAGAAAGAATGAGCACAAAGGTTCAAAAACCAATGTTAGAAATACAAATCAACAATCAAATTATTTTTAAAACAGCAGGGAATAAGTATAAAAGTGTTCCCTGGCTCCTTTTCATGTAATAGCAACTCTATAATGAAAACATAATTGAATGTAAGCCAGAAAAAACTTCACAGTCTCTCTTAAAAACCCTTAAGTATGACTCACAAGGTACTTAACTATAAAACCAACTCAATAATTCACACTAATGGAGGGAATTAATGGCAGAAATAATTTTAAAATCACATTAGATTGCATTCGTGTCTCCAGTAAAGTTCTTTCTAATGATGTTTGTTTACGCTACCATTGAAACAAATTATTTTTCTTGAATGTGTGTCAACTAAGGTCACGGGAGGCCCTAAAACATACTAGGTTAGAAACTTATAAGAAATAGACAAGCTGGATCTAATTCAAGAATTGTTGGGGGACTTCCCTGGCGGTCCAGTGGTTAAGACTCCATGCTTCCACTGCAGGGGAGCAGGGGATGTGGGTTCATTCCCTGGCTGGGGAACTAAGATCCCACATGCCACGAGGCACAGCCAAACAACAAAAAAAGAATTGTTGGAAGTTGTGATTTGGGGAGATTATTTCCTTCAAGATGTTATTTTTAATTGGTTTTAATAAATTCAAGAAAACAACTGGGCAACTGTTTTTTCCTGACTGAAATTTCTTCAAGTAATCTTAAGGAACCAGTTACTATCTGGTATAAGGTGATGCATGTTCCAATCTATTACTCTGGTCCATTTAATACATTACTTATTCTAATACAATAGACCACACTTCAGATAAGATTATAATGTGTTACTGGTTCCTTCAGAGTTAGGAATTTATTTCTTCCTTGCTTCCATTCCGCCTTTCCACTTAAGAAAAAAGATCACAATCATTTTACTCCTAGATGTTACATATAACAATACCAAAATGTGTTTTCTACCAGCAAACTCACAGTAAACAATTTGCTAACAAAGGTGCCCTTGGTATGAACATGTGTCCCAAAGTTTCAGAATAATGTAAAATGCAACATACGGAGACATATTCAACAAACTATTTTTACTCCCTAAAATTTAAAGTCAGATCTAAAGATACTATGAATTATAACTAAGGACAAACAGTATAGTATTTTGAAATGGATAAACATGCTCTAGTCCATCAGAACACACTTCACCTTTATCACCACCTGGTCATAACTCTTCCTATTTTTTAGGGAGAAAGCACAGTTCTTCTTTTTCAGTTCTACTAATAATATAATATGCAAGAAAAACTGGGAATGAGTGTAAGTTCAAAACTTTGAGCTTCCTTATGTATCTCAAGTATAAACACATTTGGCTCAGTGTTGATATACACTTAAATTATAGCTTAGAGATTTATCATCAAGAAATTGCTCTAAAATTGGGCAGATTTAATAGTGTGCAGAGCTCCCAAGTACTTTAAATTAAAACCATCATTAAATATGGTACTTAAGGGTGGTAAAGCCACACAGAAGGCAAGCATAAGTATAAACAGTGGGGCAAAGTGGAAGCTTTGCAGTCAGATCTAGGTTCAAATCCTTGCTTTGCTACTTGCTCGTTACGAAACCGTGGGGGAAGCTGCTTAACTTGACTATAACTCAAGTTCCTCATCTAGAAAATGGGTTAATAATAATGCTCACTACATAACACTGTTGTGAGGTTTAAATGAGGCAAAGATGCACAGTGATATAAAACACGTGCTTCATACTTTAGTTACAATAATTCTACAGTTTCACATCTCTAGACCCAGTTGAAGGAGGCAAAACCCCAAAATCCAAACCATTATCAGTAAGAAAAATACAATTAATGAATTCAAATACTAAATAGTACTTTCTTTCTGACCTACACCAAACACTCACAGTGAAACGCAAGTTGAGAACATAAGCTGGTGGTTCACAAAACCCTTGACTTGAGCTTTCTGCCTACTGCTTGCTGAAAAGTTCAACAAGGTGGTTACCTAGCTACCAAAGAAGTTAATCAAGTCTTTTAGAACAGCTTACTTAATATCTTGAGAAGTGAAACCACCTGCTTATGTCAATATGAATATAAATTAGTAGGACTTACCCACATCTTACTCAAAGTACACATTTAAAGGGATGTTTCATACTTTTAGCTGCATTAAACAATAAGAACCTCTTCAGTACAAGTTTCATTGCAATTTCTGAGATCCAAAACGAACGATAAGGATATTTAAAATCCTAGAATTAATATTATGCAATTGAGCCTAAGCTTATCCTCTGAATATTTAGAAGGCTAGGCTTTAAAATAATTGAAAACTTAAGCCTCGCCATTATTGTACACAACCTGTACTGATTTTTTATCTTCCTGAGGAGGCCACAACATTGTAAGGAAAGTATGAATTAATCCATCTATACCTAGGGACCCGGACAACTATAGAAATGTGTTAAATGGCTGATGTATGGCAATAGGGAGTGATTTGGTTAGTGTATGTTCTGCCTAAAAACAGTCACAAATTCAACCTTTGAAAATATTGTACTGGCCAAAGAAAGCACCTCTCTAGGTGTTTTCTGCCATTTAGCCACCAGTTTGTGACCCCTGAGGAGGAAGCAAGGTATATATACTTAAATTTTTTGATGATTGAAAAAGTCTGACTTTTAAGATAATAATCAACCTTCATTACAGGATTTATGTACCTTAAGAACAGCCCTTGTGGACTTTTAAGTGATTCAATTAAAAACAAAGACACCAAATTCTTAAGAATACATCCACTGTAAAAATCAAATACTAGTATCTTACTGTTTCTATTAACAATTTTCAGATGATGCGGTGGAGAATACATTGTTTCTTAACCTTCATATTCAGCATACATGCCAAGATATTTTATGAAGACGCATTCAATGTTTTGTTTGGTAGTGTAAGCTCTTGGGAACATAGTTCTCTTACTTCAAGTGTGTGAAGTTAAATTGAAATACCTTGAAGAGTTCCTATATTTAAAAGTTCAGCTCTTTAACTAGGGCCTAGCTGTTCTGGAAATGTCTGCTCCAGATGGTTACAAGGAATCAGCAAAAGTAGTTTTGAAGCTGTTGATTTATATCATACATTGGCAACAGCAAAATCAACTATGCCACTTGTTCCTAATCGGGCCTTTCCAGTAAATTTCCCAGCTGTAAATGAAGTATTTTTAAATGGTAAAAAAATTCTTGTAACCTTGGTTAGTGTTCGAGACACCTGAGGAAGCATTCAGGGATAGCAGACTACTCAAAAGAATGAATCAGAAAAGGGTACTGTCATTTAGCCTGAGTAACTCCTTTCAGTAGTGTAAGGGTGGAGAGACACATCATCAAAAATAGAACCAGTAATGTCAAGGGGGAAGGTCCAGGTAGATAATGGATTCCATAAGTACTTTTCCAATTCATACCACTTAAAGCGAGAGAAGCACCCTTGAAATATTTAAGTTGCCAACCCCTAGCAAAGCGATGTACTATTAATAAAGTTGTGCCCAGCATAAAGCAGTCTGAATAAAATCAGGAGGAAAAAAGAAGCCAATGAAAATAAAGCCTGCTGGAGCTAAAGCAAATACACAGCTAATCTGCACATAAAGCTTAAGTATGAAGAACCAGCACCGATCTAATGGAGGAAAATTAAGCCTAGCTAGCTTTTGCTATGGATCAGGATCAGTTCAAATGATTTACCGCACGCACCAAAGTAGTATGCCTTCAGGATCACACACCCCTGCTGTCATTTCTTTTTATCAAAGCACTGAAGAACAGTGATATTTAACCAGGAGGTGAAGGCAGAAAAGAAACTAAAAGTATCCAAGTTAGTGTCTACAGTCTGCTAGAGAAAGCTGAGTGTTTGAGACAAATCCTAGAATTGGTTGATATTCATTTACCTCACAACATCCTGTGGTTGGTAACATCCAAAGGCAATCTGACTTGGCAACTGTTTCTACTGAGTAGTTTGTAGAAATGTTTTTTGTTGCCACCTTCAAATGGAGGTGTATGCATATGTGTGTGCATATGTGTACAGATCTCTCTCAAATGCTCTGTGACCAAAGGAATACAAGGCATTGAGAAGAAAATAAACAACAGAAAGACCCTTTTCTGTTTAAAGATGTCAATCAATCATCAGTTCAAATACTTTTAATCATCTTTTTAAATGCATTAAGCTTTCAAAAGCAATTAACTACACACACACATGCACACACAACTGAGTGCACATAAAACTATATCAATGTCAATTTCCTGGTTGTGCACAGTCATTCAAGATGTTACCAAGGGAGAGGGGGGAACAGGTGAAGGGTATACAAGGTCTCTCTGTATTATTACTTATTACAACTCCACACAAATCTATAATTATATCAAAACAAGAAGCTTTAAAAAGCCCTTAAAAAGCAACTTAGTGTGTTTTTAAAAGTCAAACCTAAACCTAAAAATCATGTACCTATAAGTACGTGTAGTATCTTGAAGCAGGTTGGACACTGGTAAGAGAGTACATTCAGGCTCCCCTCAATTGTGAAACTCCCTTGAGATCACTGATCATAAAGTCTTGATAAAAGCACATGCTGAAAACTCATTTAAAAATATGAAACAAGCTGGCTATTGAAGGTGTCAGTAAAGACCATCTTAAAGCAGTGAGGCTGAAAAGCACTCAATGTCAGATTGTAGAAACCAGACAGTTGTGTGCAAGGCATTCCTGCATCCATTCAACGTCCAACAACACACATGAAGCACCTGCTGAACACAGTTCCCACCCTTATGACAGAATCCTGAACCAGATGGTCCCTGGGGTCTCCAAGTCTATCAGCAAGTGGTTGGGTTGATCCTAACTCAGTATCCTGATGGAGGCGGTGGTGATGCTGAATTTAGCAGAATCACAACCCAAACCTCACAAACCCTTAACATCAGTGGTATCATGCTCCTTTTAAAAAGTGACTGCCTTACTCAGATTTTTTTAAGCAGCAGGAAAAAAGGTGCAGTTTTAGTTAAGCGGACAATAGCCAGAACAACCTGCCACAGACTGGACTCTTCTCAAGCCTTTAGTAGGCAGAGGCTAGGGAGAAGCGGGTTATTAAGTAGGAGGACTTCCAGGCTGACTGGGAAACCCTTTCCCCAGAAGATCAGGGTCCCGAAAGGTGGGTAAAGAAACTCTCTTACCATCCTCAAACGGGGTCCCTTCAGGCCTACAAAACAGAGAGAAACAAGTCAGTTCCCGCAGCAGGGGCTCCTCTCTCCCCGGTTCATCTGAGGAGGTGGCTATTATGAGCTCTGCTCGCCCCACCTCTGGTAAACCACCGCTTCCCGGGTTGCAAAGCCACTACCAAGAGAGCTTTGGGGCTCCGAAACCCCAGGCAGGCCGAAGCGCCACCGCTCCCCGCCCCGCCCCCCTCCGAACCCCAAATGGTTCCCCTGGCAGCGGGAACCGACCTAATCGACGCACAGGCTCCGGGGAGGCGCCTAGGCCCAACGAGCCCCAAATCTTCTTGCTCAGTCCCCGCCTCCGCACCAGGCCGATCCCAGCGGGCACACGGGTCCCCCAGCTCTCACCACCACCCGGAACGCAGACTCACCCAAAAATGACCGCGTTCCAAACCATGATGTTGTTCTCGGACGGAGCCCCGCTGACTCCGGCTGGAGGATCCTCCTGCAACCTTCAGGGAAACAACACAGGCACCTCCCGCTATCCAGCCCCCGCCGCCAGCCCGACCCGCTGCCGGCCCCGCCCTGCGCCCCGGCCGCAGCCCCCGGCCCCCAGAGTCCCGGGCGGGTTACCTCTTGAAGTCCCTCATGAGACGCCGCCGAGCCGGGGTGGACATGTCTCTAGCGGGGTCAGGGGTGGGGCATACACCGAGCTCTCGGGTCCCCGCGGGTGGTGAAGAGGCGGAGGAAGCCGGAGGAACCAACGAAGAAGCGCCTAGAGGAACCGCACTGCCTCTCCTAAGTCGAGGGTCGGTCTGGCGCCGGCTTAGCACCACCCCAGAGTAGACCGGGGCTGAACCAACCTGGAAGGAAAGAACGGGGGTGGAACGCCGAACGCCGGACAGGCCGTACCAAGACGGGACAGGGGTGGAGGGAGGGACGGAAAGTTGCTTAGGTCATTAAACCCCTAAGGGACGCGGGGAGCCAGGGTGAGAAGCAAGCTGCGGGCCTCAAGTTAATTGCCGGGAATGCAATAGGATCGGGTGGTGGAATTGGTCCACCTTCACTTGCCAATTCTAAGACGAACCATGGGAAGCTTTTTTTTCTGGTTTTCCTTTTTCTTCTTTTTTTTTTTTTTTGAGATCAGATCACTTATTTAAAGTGCACACAGTGGTTGAGGGGGAAAAGGATGAAGTCTCAATCTCAATGAGGACAGAGTGGAGGAAGGCGAAACCGGTTCTCCTAAAGCCGGAACTCTAGGGGGTACACCTCCTACGGACACGGGAAACTGGGGAGGAACCTGTGTGACTGGTCAAAATCACTGAACATCCGAAGAGTAAATCGACCTCGACGGTGAGGTCGAGGGTCCCTTCTCTATGGGATGAATGTGCGGGCCCCAACATTTAGGCCGATGATTACCCCAAAGCAGAATGAAATGGTGGTGTGTGTCCTGGGGGAGGGAATGAAAGCTGGAGGCAAGCAGAATAAGGCTTTAGCTTTGGGCACTCACAATTTGGCTCTGGAACCACATTTCCCCTTGACAGTTCAACAAGCCAAGTGGCTACTATATGTTCAGAAGAGTCCAAGGGTATGAGAATATCCGATTGCAGAGAATTGGAAGAGCAGTGAGTCTGAAGTAAAAGGAACGGTAAGATGCAGGTGAAAAAGCTGTAGGTTGCAGGGAAGAGTCACAGTTAGTATGTGGACCTGCAAAAGCAATAACAGTTTTAAAGAATATTTTTTAAAAAGGTCAACCCCAAATAACATAGAAGGTAGGCAAAATACTCATTTAAGAATTTTTTGGAAACATGAGAAAAGTAGGTTTAGGTTCACTCAGGGAGAGTTTTGAATGCCAAGCTAATGGCTTCCTTGGAAGTTGGTTGAGCAGAAAGGCAAGGCGATCAGAGCTGTACTCATCGGAGACGGGTCCCAGGACAGCAACTAGAAGACTCTTGAAGTATTCCAGGTGAGAGGTAGTGAACCAGGCAATGACAATAAAAACGGAGAGGACTTGCCAACAGAATGTGGGGACAAGAGAGAGGAAGGAGTCCTATGGAGGCTCAAGTTCTGGGGACTTCCCTGGTGGTTCAGGGGTTAGGGCTCTGTGCTTCCAATGCAGGGGACATCGGTCAACCCCTGGCCCCAGAATTAAGATCCCCACAAGCCTCCAAGTGCAGTGTGGCCAAACAATGGCTCAAGTTCTAACCCCCGAGATAATTGGGAGTTTGAAGTACCATTACCTGAATAAGGGGAAAGAGAGGGGAAGGGCAGTTTGGGGAGAGAAAATCTGGGGACTTGCTGAGTTCATGGGACTAGTGAGACATCTACCTGAAGATGTCCACAAGGTATCAGATGTGCAGGAATTTGCTTCTAAAACGGGAAACAGGGGGCACTTGACAATGGCAATGATTCTAGCTGCTGCTTTACAACAGGTACTCTCATGGCCAAGGGCTTATATCTCCCATTAATTCTAATGTATCGGTTAAGCAAATCTCCCTAATATACCATCACATTATGGCTGTGGTGGGAAGGGGGTACAAAAGTAAATTTAAAAATTTCCTTTTCCTCTCATCTGGGAGCTTGCTGTCTACTAATACACACATACGGAATCACCAAAAGCAAGATTTATGAAAGCAAGTGCATTCGTTTTCTATTGATGTTTAGCAAATTGCCACAAGCTGTTAGCCAACTTCAGTTCCCTGTGGTTGCAGGACTGAAGGCCCCATTTCCTTACTGGCTGCCAGCCAGGGACCAGTCTCAGCTCCTAGACGTCATCTACACTCCTTGCCATGTGGCCCACTCCATCTTCAGATCCAGCAGCAGAGAATTTCTCTCCCACCAAATCCCTATCACACTTTTAAAAAATGTATTTCTTTTCCTCTCACAATTTGAATCTCTTTCTTTAGGAAGAGCCCAGCTCACTTTAAGGCCTTATCTGATTAGGTCAGGCCCACCCCAGATAATCTCCTGATCTTCAAATCATCTCATTTGGCACCTTAATTATATCTGCAAAATTGCCTGATAGCAGAACTCAGATTACTATTTGACTGAATAGCTCAAGAAGTGACCAGAAATCTTGAGGAAGGGGGTGGCATCTTAGAATTCTGCCTCCAGAGCAGCAGCAAATTGCAGAGCAAAAACAAGTGACTCCACAGATGCTGAAGAATCTGTACAGCAGGGGTATCATCAGTCTGGTGGGGTTAGAGCAAGCTTCCTGAAATAGGTTTATTTCAGTGTTGCTTCAGAAGAGACAAAAGCAGGACTAGGGAGGGAAGAACACAAGTGGCTCCTGAACAACACAAACGTGGACGTGGGGCTTAACTAGGATCTGGGGATAGTGGGCAGATTAGAGAGGCTAATGCAGACTGTCAAGACCTTGACTTGGAAAAGTGAGGATGACAGAAGTTGATTAAATGCCCTCAAGTGTGAGGATGAGGAATTCAGGCTTGCTAGGCAGCTTTTATAGGTGTTTGAGCCTGAGAGAGGTGTTCTGAAAACATCCCACTGAGAAATGGTAATATAGTATACTGGAGAGGAGGTGAGGTCTGGGAGGTTTCTGGCTATAAGGGACTGGGTATAAATGTCTGAAACTCACTGACGGCTAGAGATGTGTGTGAGTGTGTTGTGGGCTTGTCTGTTTTCTGAAATTCCTTTGCTGTGTGGCTAAGGAGTAGCTCTTTGGGAGCCCCAGGGCACCACGGTGTGGGGAGAGCATTGCCTGACTGCAGATTGGAACTGCATTGCAGGAACACTGTGCCCCCACATTCCTCATCAGAAGCAGGGTTGTCATAGCAAGCAGCACACAGAAGATAGTTCTCCAGCACAGACGGTTATACGACTGGAATGTACTAACTATAGCAGAGCTGGCCAAGCCTTCCTTCCACCCCCCTTCCCACCTTGATATCTTGAAGAAATACCTTCTACACAGGCAAGCATCCCCCCTTCCCTCCCAAGCACAGGGGTCAAGAAACTAGAAGTCCTTTTCAATTTAAAGACAAGTTTGTCAGTGATGTGGGCTTCCCTGATGGCTCAGGGGTAAAGACTCTGCCTGCAATGCAGGAGATGCAGGTTCGATCCCTGAGTTGGGAGGATCCCCTACAGGAGGAAATGGCGGCCCACTCCAGTATTCTTGCCTGAAAAATCCCATGGACAGAGGATCCTGGTGGGCTACAGTCCATGGGGTCACAAAGAGTCAGACATGACTGAGCAACTGAGCATGCATGCATGTGTTAGCAATGCAACTGCAGAGAAGATAAAAAATAATTGTTCATAGGCAAGGATTTGAGAATTTTCCTAAAAGGGAGGACTGTGGAAATATGGGACTATATGACTAGGGAAATATAGACTTTCATTTTTACTTTCAGAATAGATTGTGATTTTCCTGAACTATTCCAGATTGAAGTGAGAGACCAAATAAAATATCATTTCCTGCCTTATGAGGTTGGGAGTTTGTATTTCTGTTAGCCAGTGAAGGCATGGAATTTATTTTTCTATAGTTTCCACTTCTGTCAATAAAATTTAGTACAAATGAGTACCAGTGAGATGGATTTTGAACTTCTGCTCTCCAGAAGTGTAAGAAAGTCAATTTGAGTTTTCTTAAGCCACTAAGGTTGTGGTAGTTTGTTACAGCAACAAGAGAAAATGGATACAAATGGCCACAGTGTTGCATATGAGAATAAAATCAAACCAGCCACACCCACAGGCAGGCTATATAACCCAATCCAGCCTGCTAGCTTTTTTCCTATGGCCAAGGAACAGAAAATAAAATAAAAAGATTTTTCTTGACTCTAATAATCTTGGAAGACAAGTCAAGAGGCTCACTTACAGGAGACAATAGTTGTCACAGTGTGTGTTCTTGGCAGTAAAGGTAATAGTGTGCTGTCCATCTATGGCCCCTAGGACACAAGGAGAGAAAGAGAGGAAGGGAGGGAGGGACAGAGGGAAGAAAGAAATGGGGAAATTGGGGCCATGAACATAGGATTTCACTATCTGCTGAACTGCTGAATCAAGGGAAACAAAGGTATGGCTGAATAATGCAGCCTCCTCATGATCTTCACGTCCTAAACCTGTGAACGTGTTACTTTATATGGCAAAATGGACTTAGCAGGTGTGAGTAAATTTAGAATATTGAGATAGGAGATTAACCAGGGTTAAACAGGTGGCCCTGATGTAATCACATGGATCTTTATAAGAGGGTAGGAGGAGTCTGAATTCAGAGAGAAGGTCCTGTGATGATGGAGGTAGAAAGTGGCATGATGCAGCCACCAGCCAAGGAGCCAAGGGATGCTGGAAGCCTCTAGAAACTGGAAGAGGCAAAGCATGACTTTTCCCCTGGAGCCTCTAGGAGCAGTCAGCCTGGCTAACATCTTGAATCTAGACCAGTGAGATGGATTTTGGACTTCTGCTCTCCAGAAGTGTAATACAATCAATTTGCCTTTTCTTAAGGCACTAAGTTTGTGGTAGTTGTTACAGCAACAAAAGAAAATGGATACAAATGGCCACAGTATTGCATATGAGAATAAAATCAAACCAGCCACACCCACCAGCAGACTATGTAACCCAATCCAGCCTGCTAGCTTTTTTCCTATGGCCTGCCAGGTATGAACCTGTTTCTATACTTTGAAATGGTTGCAAAAGTCAAAAGAAGGATAGTATTTAATCATATTTCATGACACAT